CTGTACATTTGGGAAAGCTGGGAGGAAGAGGCTCTTGTGTATAATATAATTAATCTACATACTTTACATTATAAAATGTCATCCACACATTACATGGCTGTCATACATCCTATGTCTTAGAAAGCTGTTGTAATCTGTATATTATCTATACAGGATGTATGCTGTATAATCTTTAGAACAGTGCCAGGATTCACTGTGTATCAGGGAGATGGACCACTACATATCCTTCATCTTTGAATCTTGCACTGCATGTGCTTTGACAGTAGTGTCAGATGTATGGTATGTAATATAAACGTCACACAATGTCTCTATACTCTATATTAGAAGCTATCAGATACACTGTATATTGGCAAAATGTCAGACAAGCTGTATAGGAGGCCGATGTCAGATTTCTACTTCTCCCTACGTCTTTCTTCTGTCAGCGGAAGGTGATAGGGACATGCCCATGATGTCTGTATTATGGGTTCTGGGTCTCTGACGTACGCAGTGTGTCCGTGGTTTGGATGTATAATGTCTGTGTGTTTTCTCTGCTTTCCTGCACGCAGACTGTTATTTCTACAAGGATGCCGTTGCCTTAAGATCCTATCGATCTGCCTCTCTGACTCCCGCTGCTGAAGTGGAGGGGGAGAGAAATGACAATGTCTCCTTCTCTGCCTCATTCTGAAGCAGAAGATCGAAGATTATGAATCGATGTGTCAGATTCCAGCATTGCCCATTATTTTTCTTAGTAAATTTGTCAATGATGAGAATGCTGGCATGAAATTCATGCTGGCGGGTGTGCGCGGGGCACGTGTGCTGTTAATTCCCATCTGCAGGGCCCACACATGCCCTGAATGGTGATTTAGAATAGAATTTGCTCTGCTACCAACCTGCAGTGCAGATATTAGAACATCCAGCTGAAGAAGAAGAAGCTGATTCATTTTTCTAGCATAACACTTTGTGCGACTGGGCATGTTATTGTACCTTGCTGTTCATCATAATGCTGACTCCCTCCTCTTACCTGCAGCCACCCTGACCAGCTACTCTGAGAATGTGGACCGGTCCAAGTATGGCACAGACAGCAACAAAGACCTCAGTTCTCGCGGGTGTATTAAACAGCCTCAGAAGTCCATGGATTCCAGTTTGTACCGGGTGGATGAGAATATAATGGCCTCTACCTTCAGCTTAAACAAGATCCCCGAGAGGGGACTGGACACAGGGCTCTCCCAGTCTGTGCAGTCCATTCCGCTCTACCTCATGCCCCGCCCCAATTCGGTTGCAGGTGAGAAAAGGTGTCACTGTCTGGGTTGTCTTGGACTGCTATGATTGTACTGTGCACAAAGTTATGTTCATTGGGGCAGAGGCTTGATCACAAGCCTATGTGTGTGTCTAGAATCTTAATGCTGCTCTCTATCCGTGGGTGTGAGGGGGAGGAAAAGAGATACAGGACTGCAGATGGTGGGAGGGAAACGAATCAAGCTTAAATAAATCTTTATTCTTAATTAATCTGCTTTCTTTACTTGGACAGTGAAAGGGTTAATCTGATAAACACTTACTGAGTCACAGAGGTTTTTTTTTTTTTTTCCTTTTCTTTAATAGAACTGGTGTCAGAAGTTTAATGGAGTATGCAGCAGTGAAGGTAGCATCATGCCTTATTTTGCAGGATGCGACTCAGGGAGGATGGGGGCTAGTGCTGAGTATACCTGCCCTAGAACCGTAGTACCCCCCAGGATTTAATTAAAACTTGCAAAGTGCTAGTGTGTGTACACAAATGTTGGGCAACAGACAAATTATATCATTTTTCCATTTAAAGGATAAACTCTTGGTGTTCTAGCCAGCCACATTTTTGTTTCAGATCTGTTCTAGTTGAGCAAAATTTACCTGCAATTTGTAGTGTGACGTGTGTGTACAGTATGTTGGCCCTGGTTGCAATCTGTTGCCAGATCAAATCTTAAATTAGATCTGTGTATTGCTGTACATGTTTCTGAACTCAGTAATAATTGTATTAACAATGATAAATCATGTATATGCATCAAACTGCTGTTTTAAGAAATTGTCACTTACAGAGAACAATTGTGAAAGAAAAGTGAATCTGCAGGTATGTGCACAGTATTGCTGCACTTGTGACACCTCTAAACATTTACCTTCAGAAAGTTAAAGGATAAGTTCACCTATCAACAAAATAATAATAAATGCACATTTTATTGCAGGTAAAAAAATGCATTTATTATTTTTTGTTGTAGGAACCTGGAAGGCAGATTGTTGGTGCCATGCAGTACTCCTGCAGACCTGTCAGTGTATCTGTGTGCAAATACCTCATATGGGCAAGCTGATACTTACTGACAGAAAGTATCAATGAACTATTACAGCACTCAAATTCCCGTTTAGTTCATTGAGAACTATAAGCTGACAGCTGCTAAGGCTGTCGGTACTTGTAGTTTCACATTCACCGAACACTGTAAATTTTTTTTTTATTTTGACAGCTGGCAGGGGAAGAAGATATTCCCCACTAGCTGTCAAAGCAAGGGGGGAAGGGGGTATGGTACAGGGGCTGGTCATTTCATAACATGTAACATGTTATGAAAGGTGAACTTATCTTTTAACTCTGTATAGACATGTGAATGAAATTTCCTTGGTGGTGTATTTGGCTGAAGTCCACAATGATGGGACTTTCACTGTTCACAAAGAGGTGGATGTTTGTTGCAGGTAAAACATGCAGGAGTTAACATGCAACAGTCCTCCTGTGCTTGTATGTAAATGTGGAATCCAGTTGAGCATGTATCTGCTGGAGATCACAGATGGACATGAAGCGCACTGACATCTCATTGTTCTGTATAGGGAATACATTATCTTATATCACAAAATTATTAATTTAGATTTTATTTTTCTCTCTCCACATCTCTTAATTCTTAATCCTCCTTTTCCCCTGTGTACCATTTTCTGCTGCTTTTATATTTTGATCTTTTTTCCTACTTTCTACTTTGTATTTCTGGTATCTTTGTTTTTTCCTTCTATAACTTACCCCATATTGTCTTCTTTCTTTTGTTCTCTCTTCACTCCGTAAATTGGTCATTCTCTTTCTCTGATCTCTTTGTGTTTTTTACTTTTCCTTACGCCTTATTTAATTTCTTCTACCATTGTTCCTTACCCATATACTCTGTTTTTTCTCACTCTCCCTTTCGATTTCCCTTCTTCATACCCTTTTATTCACCTTAGCCACCAGTTCCGCACACCTAGAGGACCTTGCCTACTTGGATGAACAGAGACACACCCCTCTACGTACCTCTTTGCGAATGCCACGACAGACCCTTGCTGGACCACGTACCCCACAAGATCTACGAGGTAAGAGCACCAGAAGTATAGTAATCCCCTACATCACCTTCTTTGTATGATGGGTGAGCTGAAATTGTTTGTGAAGTTATTTCTAGTCGCGTTATTATTAAATACGAAAGAGCCAGAGTTCCCTTTTCGATAATATTCGTTTCTTTCTCTCTCCTTAGTTCGCTTTGCTCCCTACCGGCCTCCTGACATCTCCTTGAAGCCATTGCTGTTTGAGGTGCCGAGTATTACCACAGATACCACGTTTGTGGGCAGGGATTGGCTCTTCCATGAGATTGACGCACAGCTGCAGAGTGAAGATGAGAGTATAAATCGGGGCGTCGTAATCTGTGGCAACATTGGTTTTGGGAAAACCGCTATTATTTCTCGTCTTGTGTCCCTGAGCTGCCATGGTACACGTATGAGGCAGATTGCATCTGACAGCCCCCATGCGTCACCAAAACGTGAGTTTCAGAGATCGGGTTAGTGATAAAATATAGTAAACAGGTTTTTAGATATAACAATATCATTGTAAATGTAACCTGTAACAGATGTTTACCTTCCTGTTTTCCACTATATATAAGTTCAGTGATCATGTGATTACAGTGTTTAAAAAATTATTTCATGCCCATAATTGATATAAATGTTATTATTATAATGCAATATTAAATTTAATTTAAAACAGACTCAGAGGCCAACCGTGAAATTGCACAGCCTGGACAGACACATACTGGCATCTCTAGTGGCAGCTGTCCGGGAACACCTGAAATGCGTAGACGGCAGGAGGAATCCATGAGAAGGATAGCCGCACAGGTAACGAGGACAGTGATTAATTACAACGTGTGGTATTCTCACAGAAGGGTTTCTGAAGCAAGAGGATGTGTTTCAGTGCAAGAGGCAACGTTTGGCTTAGACTGCAGTGAATAAAAAGGCCAGCGCAAAAAATGTACTGCAGCATATTACAAAATCAATCCATATGTATACGTATATGTATAACTAGTGTAAAGGGAAACAAAACTGTAAGTTGTATGAGATTTACCATCAGATCTCCAGTGCAGTGATGACATAAAGAGTTACCTAAGCACATGAAGGACAGCTATGCCTTTCTACGCTCCAGTTTCCACAAAGCAATCTGTGTCTTTTAGAGCATGAATGATGCTGTAGTTTGAGGAGCTGGTGCATGAAGGATGCTGCGTTGATGAGAGGTGTGAGTCCTTTTTTTTTCTGTAAAAGACTAGTCTGTGGATAGTGGCAGTGAAAGTAAATGTGTGGACTCTTCTGTAGCTAGATGAGGCAGAGCCTTGTTACATAGTTTGTCTGGCTGAAAAAAGACACAAGTCCATCTAGTTTGACGATAAAAGAGAAGAAATAAAATATAATCCTATACCCACAGTTGATCCAGAGGAAGGCAAAAAAACCCAGCAATACATGATTCAGTTTGCTCCTGCAGGGAAAACATTCCTTCTTGATTCCCCGAGAGGCAATTGGATATTCCCTGGATCAATTTATAAATGTTAGTATCCAGTTATACCTTGTGGTAGGAAGGGCATAGACTATGCCACATGGAATTGGCTTTTTAGAGGGACAACCCTTTGCCATGTATGTTCTAGTTGTTACTGCTGAACAATCCTGACATATATCATTAACACATTGTACTTTAGTACTGCTTCTCTGTTATTACTAGGAGATGGACGTCTGTGGTAATGTCTTGTTACTTTCTTCAGGTGGTGGCATATCACTACTGCCAGGCTGATAATGCATATACCTGCCTAGTGCCTGAGTTTGTTCACAATGTGGCTGCCTTGCTCTGCCGTGCCCCTCAGCTTGTAGCTTACCGGGAACAGCTCCTACGAGAACCACACTTACAAAGCCTACTAAGCTTACGCTCCTGCGTGCAGGACCCTGCTGCCTCGTTTCGTAGGGGTGTTCTGGAGCCCCTGGAAAACCTGTACAAAGGTAACTGTTAAAGCACCCTGATTGATAACCATTCCTAATGTCTTTCTTAAACCTTCAATATCTAAATACTTTTTTCTGGCTTCTCTTTCAGAGAGGAAGATCCCCGATGAAGATTATATAATTCTGATAGATGGACTGAATGAAGCGGAGTTCCACAAGCCAGATTATGGAGACACAATTGTGTCTTTTTTGAGCAAGATGATAGGAAAGTTCCCCCATTGGCTGAAACTCATTGTGACTGTGAGGACAACCCTGCAGGTTTGCAAATCTGTTGATAAATCCCTAATTTCTTTAATTTCCCCTTTTTAGTTTTCATATTTCACATCTTCCTCCTGCAATCACTGTCTCCATCTTATTTCTTGACTGTTGCTCTGCTATTTTTCTTATTACTACTGTTCTTTTGAAGACTTGAACTGCATGAGATATTGTAGTACACAAGCTGTGCAACCAAAAATCTCCCATTATTGATCCTGGATTTCTGCCATCATTCACTTTAAAACTGTACACGTTGATATTGATTAAAATAATAACACCTATTGATGTAATTGCCCACCATTGAGCATAATGTACTGTGGACTATCATTCACAGGAAAGTACAATCACTTAGCATTCCTTATCAAATTATCACAAGTCACTAGGAATGTTTTTTAGTGATTTACAGGATAAGTGATCTTATGGAGATGTTTGTGCTAATTATGTCATCCATGTGGTTTGGTCCTTAAACACATTTTATTTATTCCTGTAACAGGAGATTACCAAGATGCTTCCCTTCCACCGTATATTCTTGGACCGACTGGAAGAAAATGAGGCCATAGATCAGGATTTACAGGCCTATATACTGCAGCGTATTCACAGCAGTTCAGAAATCCAGAACAACATCTCCCTCAATGGAAAGATGGACAATACCACATTTGGAAAGCTCAGTTCCCACCTAAAGACTTTGAGCCAGGGTTCTTATCTGTACCTGAAGCTTACATTTGACCTTATAGAGAAGGGCTACCTAGTACTCAAGAGCTCCAGCTACAAGGTGGTTCCTGTGTCTCTGTCTGAGGTCTATCTTTTACAATGTAACATGAGGTTCCCAACTCAGTCCTCTTTTGAAAGGGCTCTCCCTCTTCTTAATGTTGCTGTAGCTTCCCTCCATCCCTTGACTGATGAGCACATCTTCCAGGCCATTAATGCAGGCAGTGTGGATGGAGGATTGGAGTGGGAGGACTTTCAACAACGTATGGAGAACCTTTCTATGTTCCTCATTAAAAGAAGGGACCTGACAAGAATGTTTGTTCATCCTTCCTTCAGGGAATGGCTAATTTGGAGAGAGGATGGAGAAAAAACCAAGTTTCTGTGTGACCCACGGTGAGTAATGTTATGTTTTGCATTTGTAAGTTTTTTTGTTTTTGTTTAACTAGCATCATTTGCTGAGGCTGCCCATGAAACTGGTCATACACGGAGTGAACTTTGGCTGGTTCCTGATTAAATTCGCTCACTGGTTAGCCCTATCGGATACATCCCACCTTACATCCTTTTATTGAAATAATCAAAAGAGCCAGGCAGAAAACTGTTGGAACAGCAGCTGCATCCAATCAGATGCAGGCATTGTTCAGGTATTTTGACAGCCTGCGTGTTGGCTGTCAAAATACAATAACTGCAGCAGGAGATTTGGCCATCTTCACTTTTGTACTCTGGATGGAGGATGAAAGTTGGAGGCTGAAGAGAAAAAATAGATGTGTATGGCCAGCTTAAAGCAACAATAAAGGCTTACATTTTTTTTTCTAAAAATAACAAACATGTCTATACTTACCTGTTGTGTGTACTGGTTTTGCACAGAGCAGCCCGGATCCTCCTCTTTTCGGGTCTCCCTCAAACTCTCCTGGCCCCTCCCTCCTGTTGGGTGCCCCCACAGCAAGCAGCTTGCTATGGGGGAACCCGCTGCTCTGTGTGTCCATTCACACACGGAGCTGTGATTCAGCCATGCCCCCCTCTACTCTCATTGGCTCACTGGCTGTGATTGACAGCAGTGGGAGCCAATGGCTCCCGCTGTTGTTTCAGCCAATGAGGAGAGGGAGTCCTAGGATAACCAAGACTCCAGTGCACATCGCCGGTCGAGAGAGGGCTTAGATGAGTATTAGGCGGGCTGCTGCACAGAGAAGGTTTTTCACCTTCATGCATAGAATGCATGAAGGTAAAAAACCTTGAGCCTTTAGAACCACTTTGTCTTTGTTTCAACTCTTTATCTTATGACCTAGTCTTTACTACTTTTAGCAGGTCAGTAATTATTCTGATATATAAAATAGTCGGATCCTAACCTTTTCTATTGTGATGACATGCTGCTTGACCCAAGCCTGCATGGGCACCAGTGTAAGACCCTTCATCTGGAATGTAAATTCCTAAATCTGTCACATTTCGCTGCTGATACCCATAATTTAGTGCAGCAGAATTTTCTGTCAACATTTTAGAAGAGCAAATGGCAATTCTATTTATATTCAGGATCAAAGATCAGAAAACAGAACAGTGACAGGGAACACTTAGAGGTATATAGGTATATTAACCTAACACATCTTGTTATATTTAGCTACGTCCCTGACATTGTTTGCAGTTCTTTTAGAATTTTTCTCTTTTGGCACAAATAGATGTAAGTGTGAGACTAAAATGTATTTTCTTGAATTCAATTCACCGCACAGTTATACCCAGAAACTGAACACAAATCTGTGCTTTGCCCATACACGTTAAAGCTCATGTTCACTTAAGGATTTTCAACAAAGTTTTAAAGACACCTCTTATGTTCAGCTCTTCTCCCACTACCGCCATCCCCCCCACTTCTATGACTGGCTGTCAAAATGACAGCTATGAATTGCTTTGTATTACACTGTAATAGCAGTTGTCAAAATACAGCCACTCCTATGTAAAATGACACTTGCAGATAGTCTGCAAATGTAATTGAATAAATACAATGTAACTATATACTGTTACACTGTATATACTATTTCACTGATATCTAGATCAAGGATGTGACTTTTAATCTGTATGTAACATCAGTTAAAGAAACCTTAAGAGAAAAAAAAGAAATATTTAAAGAAAATGTATTCCAATTTAACCCTAATCACCCATAATTAGCCCCATCCTCTCCTTTTCCTAGCTATAATTGTATGGGTTTTTTTATTTCTATTTTTTACCATCATTATTAAATGTTTATTTTTATTCATTTTGTTTAATTTTTTTCAGTGTTGCATAAAAAGAAATTGCACATAAGTGGGGGGGAAAAAGCGTTTTTTTATTTGCAAATAACTTTGCCATGCTTTGTACCAGAAACCTCATTTTAGTGTCATTTTAGGACAGATTATAGAATGTGTATTCTTTTTAATTTACATTAAAAAAAAATCTCATGGTCCATAGAATACATACAGAACAAAATATTTTTTGCAAGACAATATTGCCAAACAAAGCCTAGCTTGATCCACAAAAGTGTATTATTTTTTTACATTAAGTCATGACAAAGCTACCGAACAACAAGGCCCATAGTGGAAACATAAACATTACTCTGATTTATATAGGTTATACAGGTACGAGAGCTGAAGTCTTTGATGCCCCCTTTTCCAGCAGCACATACTAACCTTGACTAGGGGAATATGTGCTGCTAAGGAGGAAGGCATTAAAACACAGGTTTGATTTAAGTGAAAAAAAATTTGTCCAAGGTAGCCCATGCCTCTGAATTTTAAGAATTGGCTGTTGGCTCCTAAAATGTGCTCAGTCTGGAATGTCATTACAGCTAAAGCTCTTGTTTAGGAGATAAATACATAAAAACAATAGTAGGAATGTCCAAATATATTTTCGGGCTGCATCTGTGCATGCTATAATTTCTAAGGTTTTATCTTGTGGGAATCCCTTTTTGTGAATGATCTTAGCAGGGCATAATTTAAAAAATGAATTAGAGCTTTCACTTTTTTATTTTCATTCCATGTGGTGCTAATGTTTTTACAGTCATCCCTTCTAGTCTGTCTATGAAAGATCATGCTGAGTTACTGATGGATATAGGTGATAACTGTGTATCTTCCTTAGGAGTGGACATATCCTGCTGGCTTTCTGGTTCTCTCGTCAGGAAGGGAAGCTGAACAGGCAGCAGACAATAGAGCTTGGGCACCACATACTGAAAGCACATATCTTCAAGGTACGAAATGCACTGGAACTGGATACTCCCATGATCAACCCCGCAGGCTTTGAATTATATTTTCATTTTTTCTCCTCTTTTTACCAAATCATTCACATTGCATAACGTCAGCAGATCGGTCTCTAGATTTAGGCCAAAAAGTAGAGAGCAGGTTGAGACAGTGTATTGCTGGATTTTAAATGGTATAGGCTCTTGTTTTTAATGTTTTACTTAGCTATATCTGCAAAAGGGGCCAGCCTGAAACAATCTAGCAGGACTTAACTTTCTGAATAAAGTTCCACTTTGACACTGTTTTGGTTAGTCACCACTAAAAACAACAAAAGTACAACTAATAAAGGCCTGAACCCATACACACTCTCCTGATAACTCCATATAAAAAGGTTGTATTTTAATCTAATGTTGTTAATGACAACGGTAATTGGGCAATACATACATGTGAAGAAAACATAGAGACTGCTGGGATGGAAAGAGGCACAGAGGGGTTTAGGTCCAAAGGAAGAATATGTGGGAGCTATACACAGTTCTTTGTCTTAAAAGCAGACAGTCATATTTCTTTCTTTTCAAGGTTTTTTTTTATAGTGAATGTAAATTCTGTATTTATAGGGTCTCAGCAAGAAAGTTGGTGTTTCTTCATCTATCCTGCAAGCCCTGTGGATATCATACAGCACAGATGGCCTCTCCATGGCCCTTGCATCTCTCAGAAATCTCTACACTCCCAACATCAAGGTGGGCCTGAGTTGTGTATAATGATCACATATCTGCAAATATATTTCATGTAAATATTTCTGTTTTTTTGTGTTGGAGTAGCTGGAACAGATTTGGCTGGTACAATCCTAGGATTTGCTTGTGTCCCTGCACCTAATTTACTGAGTAAAAGTATTTGTGTCCAACCTAACCACTTGCCCTCCAGAGGATTTACCCCCATTCCTGACCAGGTCATTTTTTGCGATACGGCCCTGCATTACTTTAACTGACAATTGCACAGTCATGCAATGCTGTACACAAATTAAATTTATGTCCTTTTTTCCCCACAAATAGAGCTTTCCTTCGGTGTTTGATCAAATGAAAGACCAACAACTTTGAGGAAAAAAAAAAAATATTTTTTACTTTTTGCTATAAAAAATATCCAGTAACAAATCAAATTTCTTCATAAATTTAGGCTAAAATGTATTCTGTCTTTGTTAAAGAAAATCCCAATACGTGTAAATGAATTGGTTTTTGTGAAAGTTATAGCGTCTACAGATGGCGGTATATATACTGGAATTTTTTGTTTTAGTTTTTTTATACTAGTAATGGCGGCGATCAGCGACTTATTGCGGGACTGTGGCTGGCATTCTGACACTGGGAGGGAACTGAATAACTGCCACTGACATCCCCAGTGACACTAATTCAGTGATAATAAAAAGCACTGACACTGTACTAATAACACTGGGCAGGAAAGGGTGAACATCTGGGGCGTCAAAGGTTTAACTGTGTGCTGTGTTTTACTAGGGAGGCATGCTGTTTTGTATCTCTTTGCTGTGCAGAGAGATACGAAGCAGCATGTTCATGCTGACAGGAGAGGGATCTGTGTTGTTTACACACAGGTCTCTCCCTTGTCAGCTTTACCCAACGATCGCCAAGCGCCGGGCGGGACCCGGGGATTGGCATCCCTAGCCGCCAATAGCAGCACGGGTAGGGTGGCGCACGTGTGCCCTACCCGGAAAATCAAATCACACATATATATATATATATATATATATATATATATATATATATATATATATTTTGCACAGCCCTTCCACCCTGTAGCAGTACTTCTGCTATAGGGCAGCAGGAAAGTGGTTAATATCTTGTGTCCCTCATTAATCTCTTGCATTCCTTATTTCTTAGGTGAGCCGTCTCCTGATCATGGGTGGAGCGAATGTTAATTATCGCACAGAGGTGCTGAACAATGCGCCCATCCTGTGTGTTCAGGCCCATCTAGGATACACGGAAATGGTGGCTCTGCTGCTTGAGTTCTCTGTCAATGTGGATGCCAGTTCGGAGAGCGGAATGACCCCTCTAGCATATGCTGCTGCTTCAGGTCACCTGACTATCGTCATGCTTCTGTGTAAGAGGAAAGCTAAGGTGAGTGTGGACAAGTCTGCTACAAGGGAATAAAATGATTTAACTGTGGTTAGGGTGTAAAGATATCCTGCGAGTTACATAAAATGTAGGTGACCCTATTGGCATCCCAGTAAAATCATCTTGTCACTATAACATTTTGACTATATTGATCGTATTGGTATGTTGCTGTTGCATCCCTTTGGCCTGCACACTGTTTTAGGTAATACTAAGAATTGCACCGATGTTTGATTATTAGTAAATGCAATAATGAGTTTATTGAAATGATATGTGTACATAAGCTTTCTATGTGTTGTGGCTTTAAAATCAAGTCACAGAACTTTTCATTTATCAATACCTGTCCTACAACTGTAATGATGCAGAAAATGTAATTTAGTGCTGCCAGGAGTTAATTAGATGGTATGTTTTATTTTTGTGTGGCTGTATTATGTTATACATGCCATGTTCACAGCACCCTCCTGCAGGTAGATCCATGGGGGTGATATCTAGGGGCTGCATACAACGCAGACATTCTGTCCTCGCCCCCGCATAACCTGGTGCCTGGGAACCTGCCCAAGCCTGCAGGTTGTTCACTTGATGGCTGACTGACTGCCAGACGACATGGCAACATAGAAAAGAAAAAAAAGGGAAACAGTACAGAATGTGACAAGTGTTTGTTGGTTTACTAAGCTCTTTATAGAAAATCTGATCTCTTCCTCCTCTTTTATTGTTTCCTTCCTTTGTTCTGTGCCTACAGGTGGATCTCTTGGACAAGAACGGGCAGTGTGCACTGGTCCATGCTGCTCTACGGGGTCACCTGGAGGTAGTGAAATACCTCATCCAGTGTGACTGGACTATGGCTGGACAGCAGTCGGGAGTCTTAAAGAAGAGCCAAGCCATCCAGCAAGCATTGATTGCAGCCGCCAGCATGGGATACTCTGAGGTAGGAACAAAAACAGCAAAGCAAATGTCAGAGGTGGGAGAGGGCCTTCCCAGGGTTCATTGTACAGGAGTATATTATTACACAATGATTCCAAGTGGATGCTCCTCACTCCACAATTTTTGCTTCATGTCAGAATGAACTAACACTATTTTCTTGCTGTTTTTGCACCCTCTGGAGTATTACTAACATTAAAATAACAATCAGGTTTGAACAAGACTGTTCCCGCTGTTTGTTGGAGCTGAATACAAAACAAGATTTATCCTCATAGCCTCTGATAGAACACCTACACTCATTTCCATCTCCCCAATTCTTAATAGCTTGACATTCAAGAATATGAGAACCTTTCTCTCAGAGATCTGCAGAGAATCCTTTAGTTGTATGTCTATGATTTGTTCATTTGTTTTATTATTTCATATTTCTACACAATTATTTTCTGTTAATGAAATCTGCATTGGAAGATTGTATCCAGTCTCAGTGGTAATGAGTTACCTATTCAGAGTCTCCTCTCTCAGAATCTGGGTAGGAACATGCCCTGTATTGACAGTACTGTGGATCTAAACCCAGGGCTTATTGGCTATTTATATTTTATGAAATGGAACACGTTTTTGGAAATATATTTGAACTCCTTTGTGGCCTGTGGCATTTAGTACCTTTGTGACTGTAGTGATCCTGGCTAAAAAGCTTTAGATGTAGTAGGGAATCTCACTCTACTTTCTAAACAAACTCAAGCACTTGTTTGCCTCAAGTGGGTTTTGCATTTTCCCTAAAAATCTAGGAGTGTAAAACCTGCTTTAGGCAGGTCAACTTCAGGTCAGATGAACCTGCCATTGAATTCTGAATGATCTCTAAAGTGTTTCAAACTGATGTAAAACTGATGCCACTGATACAAGACCAAAGTCTATCAACACAGGCCCTTAAAGTGGTTGTAAACCTCAGACATGAAAAATGAACAAAGCATATCCCTCTATAGTGTGGGTCGGCAAGCCATTGATTTCAATCTATTCGTCGACGGCAGGCAGCAGACAAGTAGGTTGCAAACTTGTCCCTGCTTTGCTGGTTTTTCCACTCTGCCTCCTCCACTCCCATCTTCACTGCAGAACGGAAAGCGGAGAGGCAGCACACAGTACTGGATGGAGGGCAGGAGCTGGAGCTGCCTCTGTTAACCTTACAAGTTAACAAGCAGGTGATTGGTTGCTAGGATGATGGGCGGTCCTAACAACCAATCACCAGCTTGCTAAGGTGGTATGGGAGTGTGTGTCCAAGATGGAGCTGTGAGAGAATGAAGTGTTCGGTGGCTCCTTGCTGTACAGTGTGTACCCTGCATTTTTTTTTTTTTTTTAACTCCCCAGCCGCTGCTGTATCTCTGGGAGGTCAGTACAGAGGCGGGAGAGAGTACAGACGTGCAGTGTAGCAGCCGCTCTCAGCCTCTGAGCTCCAGCACTGCACACAGGCATGCACAAGTGGCTATATCCTCCAGCTCTGCAGCCTCTCCCCAACGTGAAGCAGTAAATCTCACCTCTCCTCAATTTACACTTCCTGCACCCGCTGTCCTATGAATTAGAGGCCAGAGGAGCATAGTCCAGCCTTACTTGGGAAGTGTTGGGAGTCTGTGGGAACCAAACCTACACCATGTGGGACATTTCACATACCCATTGCAGCAGCACACAACTAGCAGCTTACAGTCTGCCAACTCTCCCCCTCAACTCCCCCTGTGGGGATATGCCCAGACGAAAATGTGCCACCTGCCTGCCACGCAGGAGCATTGAGACCAGAGCTGACCCCTGGAAGCTGCTCCAACACTGTGCAGATGGCTATGTATATGGATAGTCCCGAATCTAGCTTACAGGGGCAGAGTACCTTCCTGGAGGGGGCGGGGTGATGTGAAGGGGGGAAGAAGACACTACTGTGACTACATGTGGTCTTTTTATTGGGAACTTAATATGTTTTTTTTTTTCATCTGTCATTTCTTTTTCAGATTGTCTCTTACCTCCTGGACTTACCAGAAAAGGATGAAGAAGAGGAGCAGAGAGCTCAGATCAACAGCTTTGATAGTCTGTGGGGAGAGACAGGTGGGTGCTGAGGCTGTGTGCTCTTTTGGGAGTTTTATGGGAGCTGGAATATGACAAGGTGTACATTTTTGCTGATTCATCAGTCATTTTATATATTGTGTTTTCTGACCCTTTATCTTCACTTATTATTTATTTTGCAAATCTAGAGTTTTTTGTTTTTTTTTAATACCTATTCTTAATCTCATCATCTTCTCACAGCTCTTACAGCTGGTGCAGGCCGTGGAAAGCTTGAGGTTTGCCGCCTATTGTTAGAACAAGGGGCTGCCGTATCCCAGCCTAACCGGAGGGGAGTTGTTCCCATATTTAGTGCTGTCCGACAGGGACATTGGCAGGTAACAATGCAAATGATCACTTTGCCTTGTGTAGGTAAATAATTGAAAGGTACAAAGTCCGACCAGCTCTTTCTTTCTCAGATTGTTGATTTGCTGCTTACACATGGTGCAGATGTTAACATGGCAGACAAGCAAGGTCGTACCCCATTAATGACTGCGGCTTCAGAAGGACATGTAGCCACTGTGGAGTTTCTGCTGGCACAAGGTTAGTAAACCCATATGGTTGTAGTGGAGCTGTCCCAGGACCACAGCCCCAATTTGAACAGCTAATCCTGGGAATTAGGCATTAAATGTTTACATGTATGTACACCCTAATAGGGAACTTCTCTTATTCTTATTTGTTCCCTTTGGCTCTGTAAAATATACCCTTGAAAATGTTTTTTATATCAGTTCCAGTGTATGGAGCAAAAATCCATACACTGCTATGTTTAATAGAATGCAGGTTAAGAAGTTCTGATCACAAGAACCAAACTTAGGACATACCATTTGCTTCAGATTGTTTGTTTTTGAATGTTTCTGTCATGTTACCTCCCCATATATAATATTATGTTTTAAAATTTAAACATAAAAATTAGATATGTTTCAGTGTTTTTTTATTGCTGATGTGAATGTGTACATACAGACTTGTGTTTGTTGTGTAGGAATTTGTATACAAATATCCCACAACACCTAGTTGTAATTTATAATTGAGTAACTCAGTTTTAAATGTACACAGGTTTTATACATCATTTTCTTCTTTATCTTTTCGACTTAAAAAAAACTGTTTCAAAAATGAATGTTTATAAAATGCAACATTTTATAATTTTGCTTTCTGCTTTTAATCCAGCAGGTGGAGTTTTAGGCTCCTGTTCTTGCTTTAAATTCTCTGCTTCTTTGATGAAACAAGTCTGTTGTTTAAACAGCTCACTGACTCATCAGCAGTGACTCATCCCTTATCAGAGACATATTACTCAAACAAATTGTACCTCAAAGGAAATCGGCTCTGTTGTGCTTGCTTTTTAGCTAACCAGTAGTGGTCAAGAGATAGTTTGTCAAGTAGTACGTGCGTGTATGTATGTGTAATATATATATATATATATATATATATACACACACACACACACACACACAGTTTTGGACTTATTTGGATTTCTTTGTGGGCATGCACCTGGTATTTATTTCAAACCTAGAGTGCTGTGGCTAATCTTGGAAAAAAAAAAATATATATATATATATACACACACGCGTGCAGCGGGTAAAATAAGTATTGAACACGTCACCATTTTTCTCAGTAAATATATTTCTAAAGGAGATAATGACATGGAATTTTCACCAAATGTCGGTAACAACCCATGGAAACAAAAACAAATAACTTCAGAAATGAAGTTTTGTGTAATAAAATGGAATGACACAGGGAGAAAGTATTGAACACAAAAGAAAGGGAGGTGCCAAAAAGGCATGGAAAGCCAAGACACCAGCTGAAATCTATCAGTAATTAGAAAGCAATACTGACCCTTGTCAGTGCAAATTAATATCAGCTGATACAAGAGCCCGGGATCACTTGTGGGGAGCTTCAGAAAGACCTGAAATTAGCAGGTTCAACTATTTCTAAGAAAACAATAAGTAATGCACTCAATCGCCATGGCCTGTATGCCACGCAAGACTGCATTGCTGACGAAAAAGCATGTTGAAGCTCGATTAAAGTTTGCTACACAACATTTAGACAAGCCTGTGAAATACTGGGAGAATATAGTCTGGTCAGATGAGACCAAAATTGGATGCCATAATACACATGTTTGGAGGTCAAATGGCACTGCACATCACCCCAAAAACACCAGACCAACACTGAAGCATGGAGGTGGAAACATCATGGTGTGGGGCTGTTTTCAGCATGCGGTACTGACAAACTTCATATCATTGAAGGAGAGATTAGAGGAAAAATGTACCAAGATAAAAATAAAGAAAATCTGCTGCCATCTACCAGGATGATGAAGATGAAACAAGGGTGGACATTTCACCAAGACAATGATCCTGAACACAAAGCCAAGGAATGTCAATTGTTTTCAAAGAAAGAAAATAAAGCTGCTAGAATGGACCAGCCAATCACCTGACTTGAATCCAACAGAAAATCTATGGAAAGAACTAAAGATCAGAGTCCATAGAAGAGGGCCATGGAACCTTCAAGATTTGAAGACTGTGTGGAAGAATGGGCCAAAATCACACCTGAGCAGTGCATGCAACTAGTTTCTCCATACCGGAGGCATCTTGAAGATTTTTCCCTGTGCCATTCCATTTTATTATACATAATGTAAATTCTGAACTTCTTTGTTTTGGTTTCTTTGTACATATGGATCGTATGGGTTATTACCGACGTGGTAAAAATTTCATATCAAAAGCGCCTTTAGAAATATATTTAATGAGAAAAATGGAGACGTGATCAACACTTATTTTACCTGCTGTATACATCCCCAATGTATTATAGCTTTCCTCTAAACATTCTCAAGTTTTATTTTCTTTTTAGTAGGGTGAAGCAATAATATTAGTTCCCTTTTGTAATATGATTTATTGCCCCTTTTTAGGAGCTTCCATAGGCCTCATGGATAAGGAGGGTCTGACCGCTTTAAGCTGGGCCTGCCTGAAGGGACACCTTCCTGTGGTGAGATCATTGGTGGAAAGTGGAGCAGCCACTGACCACGCTGATAAGAATGGACGTACTCCCTTGGATCTCGCAGCCTTCTATGGGGATGCTGAAGTGGTGAGTAATCCATATGGTATAATAATCTGATGTACATTAGTCGCATAGAGTGAGGTGGGAAAACATTAATGCATGTTAATCAGTTATAGAGGGCAGATTTGCATAGTATGTAGTTGCTTATAACGGCCTGGCTGTTGCTGTGATTGGTTTTTAGTTCAGTGGTTCTCAACCTGAAGAACCTCAGGACTCACATTTTTCCTTGGTCATTCAGTTGCAACCCAAAAATAATGTAATTTCCAAAACATTATTATTTAATCCCCAAAGCAACTTGTGGATTGTTCTACAATGTACATCATTTTACACAATAAAACACTTTTTTAAACTTTTAAAATAAAGAATTTTAAGCATACATAAATCCGCCAATACCCCCTAACTTTAAGCAATGTCCCCTCTACCTGACACTAATAGCTCATTAAGCTGAGCAATGTCTCCTCTACCTCCCACTGTCTCAAAGGCACACTAAGTTAAAAGTATTAATGTCTTCAGTGGCTTTTGAGGGACTTATAGCGGAACTGCGGTGCACATTCTGACAGTGGGGGGAACTGACATGGTGTCACTAACATCCCCAGTGACACCAATACAGTGATCAGTGCTAAAAAAAAAAAAAAAAAAACACTGACACTGTACTAATGGCACTGGGCAGGAAGGGATTAACATGAGGGGCAATCAAAGCGTTAACTGTGTGCTGGGAGTGGTTTACTAGGGGGCGGTGTCAGTGTGCTTTACTGTAAGCACATTGCTTTGGATGGCTGTACTGTGCTCAAGCTGACAGGGAGGAGGACTGTTAGTAAACAAAATAGTTCTCCTCCCTGTCGGAGATCCTTGGTAATCACTGAGCACCGGCGATTAATCACCGGCCAGGACCCGGTGATTGACAGCCGCGGCCATGAATGAAGGCGCGGGTAGGACGCGCATGCCCCCTACCCAGAAATATAAAATCATATGTATATATATGTGATTTTGCGCACCTGTGCCACCCTGTACCAGTTCTTCTGCTATAGGGTGGTTGGGAAGCAGTTAAATAAACAATATTGTTTCTGCAATGTTTGTGAGGGTTTTCAGTCCCCTCCATTTCATGCATCTATTCTTACTTGAACTGCACTCAAACCCTGTGTGATCTTTCTTCCAGACCTGCCCTGTACACACCAAATAAAGGAAAAGAACTGATTAGAGTAGCTTGTGGAGGCCTTGCACTGTGTCAGATACATTCTGTATGCCATAACAAGCACTTCATATGCCCTGGAAGTTCTCTGTGTCATTGTCTCATTAACCCACTGTGACCTATTTCTTGAAAGCATTGCTTGATTCTGTTCCAGCACTTGATTTTATAAGGCCTTTTTACTGTACTCTGTGTAATTTCCATCAGAGAGATGAGCAATGCACAGAGAACTGATCTAGTCTTCAGTTTTCAGGACTAGACTAGCTCCCACTGGTAGACTCCTTCCAGCTGCCTACTGTTAAGACCAAGAAGCTACACCTTACTACACTTTTCTATCCACCGTTCTGTACAAGCCAGTTACTAACAGTGTACCAAGTCCTGATGAAAATCATCTGCTCCTGTTTGTTCACAGGTCCAGTTTCTGGTGGACCATGGAGCAATGATCGAGCACGTGGATTACAGTGGAATGCGCCCACTGGACAGAGCTGTAGGCTGCAGGAACACTTCAGTTGTGGTGGCTCTCCTAAAGAAAGGGGCCAAGATAGGTAAGTGACAAAGCAGTGACATGCTGTTGCTGCCTCCCTCGTCCTACAGAAAGTTCAGATGTCCGGATGTTAAGTTTCCCATTGTGTTTATTGTCGGTATAGACAGGCTTGCATGTTCTTTGTCAGCTTCAGCTTAATATTGTGTACCTTACAGAATTAAGACCACAGAATTGCACCTCTAGATTCCAAAGACCAAAACAGCGACTATTAACCCTATCACTGACCAGCTTGCCAGTTTTCTAATAGTTTCAGTGCCTGGCACAGCAGAATCCCTTGTTAGCCCCACTGCTGCCGGAATCTTTGTCGCTGCGTGTTTTTTAATGTCCATCACTGGTTAGCCGCGTTGCTCACTGCCCCGTCACTGCTGCTTGTTGATGATCTGCTGCTCAGACATTAAGCTTCTGTGCTCGCTGCTCTCTCACTCCTGCTACATGGTTTGTTTTCTCTCCTCCGTCACTCCATCCGTTTATCGCCAACGCTCCCTCTCACTACCTCTGTGTCTGTTGCTTTATTAACACCCCCCCCCCCCCCCTCCTCCATTCCTTCTTCCTGTTCTTCTACCTGGTCCCCAATGTTTATTCCTGTTTTTTTTTTCATTTGATTCTGCACCTCCCGTCTGTCTGGTTCACTTTGCTCTGTCTCTCTTCTCTTACCCCAACTTTTCAATGTCCTCCATCTCCTGCCTATTTATCTTCTAAATTTGATTCCATTGATCACTTGGCACACTCTTCCTCTGTTTTGTTATCCACTCTGACCTTCTTTGCTGCTTTAAGGCTGTCAGACCTTACCAAGCCGACCCAAAGGTTAGAACTTGCTCTCTCTTCACAGCTTTGCTCCGCATGCTTACTCACTCACCAGTTCTGCACATGGGCCAAGCACTAGAAATAGCTAAAGCACTGACAGAGTTTAAATGGCACTTACCCCATGTGTGATATGCTGTCCAGTGGGTTCCCAAGAGTTTTCTTCATTGTGAAATATTACTTTGGAGCTCTACTCTGGCTGCTTCTGTGTTGGTTGAGGTCCCCCTAGTGGTCATGTTGTGGTCTCTTTATTTGAGGCCACAATCATGGATTCAGCTGACTTTACCATAAGTGAAAAGCTTTCTTTTTTTCCCTTATACACAGCTGACTTAATAACTCTACTGATGTATGTTAAGCTAGAATGCATTCATATTTTTAAATCTAGATATGTTAACCTTTAAATTATATTTTGATAACTATCAAGGGACATAGTGCTGAGGTTTGTAGACTTGGGATAATGTTGAAAATGATTGTCCAGGAAAGAAGCTTCTTCCACAAACAGAGATAAAGACTGTAAATCATTGTACAGTCCACTTACTCTGAGTGTCTATGATGGCAGTTACCAACAGGCCGTTCAGTCTCTACTGTTGATTTCATGTAATAGCCAAGCCTTCACAGCGTGGGCTCTCCTAGGGAAACTGCAGGAAGCACTTGGGAAATGTGATGTGTAAGTTACATTTAACCTTTGGAGCATTCTGTGTTGGCTGTCCCTGCTGTGCACCCAGGGCTTCCATGCTTCTGGTCCCTCTGCAACATTTCAATGGAAGTGTTCAGCTGCATAGAATGTCTATGGAGATTTCCTGTCTACTTGGAGCAGGAGGCAGGAACTGAACTCTGCAGGAGTGAACATCAGGAGAGATGAGATTTGTGCTACAGCATATCAAGGCCATCGCTGGGAGAAGTGTAACTTACACATTATAGTTACAGTGATATTAAAAGCAAGTTTTAAAAAAATGTCATACTTACCTGCTGTTTGCAGTGGTTTTGCACAGAGCATCCCTGATCCTCCTCTTCTCAGATCCCCCACTGGTGCTCCTGGCCTTCCAGCGTAGTGCCCTCAGAGCAAGCACCTCACTATGGTGGAACCCAAGCAGGCTTGCTCCTGAGCCGCTGCTCTGTGTGTCTATTCATACACAGAGCCATGGCTCAGACCTGCCCCCTCTCTTTCCTCATTGGCTCCCACTGCTGTCCCAGCCAATGAAGAGGGAGAGTCCCCAGAGAGCCAAGGCTCTCGTGCACATCCCTGGATCGTGATGGGGCTCAGGTAAGTATTGGGGGGGGGGGGGGTGCTGCACACAGTTTTTTTTACCTTCTGCCTTTACAACCATTTAACTCTCTCCCCGAATGCTGTAGTAGAAAAGGTTCCGAGTATGGGCTGAGGACCATTTATAGTTCAGGTTTCATTCACAGAAGCTGTAGAAGTATCGGCTTCTATGACTGGAAGAGCTGGGTGGAAAAGGTGGGCATAGTCAGGCACTCTTGATAAAAGCCTGTGACAACTCCCACAGTCCTATCACTCCCCCGCTGCAGCAGCGGCGATGGGGGTCCATCAATGGTGGAGGATTTAACCTAACAGAAGAAGTATCAGCACAAGGGACACATCCAGTTGACTGTGTGTTATGTCCCTTGGGCTGATTTTTATGTTTTATGATGGCACTTAAGCTTTAGTATCAATTTATTGCAAATAAAGTAATTCTTAACAGTAAGAATGAGTTGACTTTTTAAACACAAAAGTTCTTTAAATATACTTATTGACAACAGGAAATTCTGCAAATATTCCCTTACTACTATCTTTTTCTATCCCTGTGGTTTAACTTTTGCCACCCAGGTGTGGTTTCTGTGCTGAGAGCATGCTCACACGGTTTTATGACTGGGAGCCAGCAGGATGGGCTCCCAATCAGATGACAGCCAATCACTTGATCAGAAGTCCCTCTCCCTGGCATAAAGCCCCTATTAAATGTCTGTTGGGAGGGTGTTCGAGACCTTCATCCAAGTCCCAGAGTAGTGTGAACATTGCTTGTTTATATTCATCCTGTCTGTACCATAAGGTGTATAATCCCTGCAGATCAGGTCTAGGGACAAGTGGGCAACCCCTACATTTGCATTTTGCTGTTCACGGTTGGCCGTATGCAGTGATGTGGAAGAAGGGGGAAGATTGGACTTTATTTATTATGCGGGGCTTCTAGCAGTTTGTGATCTGTTTTATCAGTGATTACGTGAGTGCAGTTCCCTATAACAATAGTTATTTACGGCTCCTAGCTTTAAAGACATTCATTAGCACAGATATGTGGAGCTACGGCCTTTGTGTTATGTTCTGAACTGCATATTTGATTATCTCCAAACTGTACAATGCAGAGAGGCTGAATGTAAACAAATCAATGTTTCCATTGTCATGGGATGACAGCTCTCACAGCACAGGGAAGAAAAGGCTGAGGTAAGGGCTTATATTTGCAAAGCTAACATGTTTTAAAAGTGCAATTCCCATTTAAATCTGTTGCTAATCACACATGTAGATGTGACTTAATTCAGTCCTATAAGACCTTATAATATTTCGAGTTAGCAAAAAATGTAAAACCTGAAAATAAAAAGCATGAGTGAACATTTACTAACACATTTTAACATGCATTTGGCTTGTCTGCGCTAATGATTTACTGACTGCCCTTACCTGATGGCATGTTGCTGCTTAGTGACTGTCCCTGCCTCATACAATTAGAAGCATATATTATCATATGCTGCACAGACAATCAAACAGATATACACAATAGCTATGTTTAGCATTCTTAAATTCATTTTTTTATCTGTAGACCCTGCTGGGTGTCAGTCTGACACCCTGGTGTATGTTCAGACTAATTTGTCAAAATGTCTGAATAACTAAAAACTGTCTTTGCTTCTCCTTTGATTTTTCTAACTTTCTGTTTTACATAAAAAAATATGAAATTCCAAATCTAATTGGTTTGCTCTTGGTATCACAGACAGTTCCTGTTTCAGATGGTTTGATAAATATGTTTATTTAGGCCAACAGAAACTTATTTCTTGGGTCACACTCAAACATTTTTTTATTGCTTAGGTACATACATTACTTCCTGATAGCTCTTTTCTTCTTCTCCTCCGCACATTTACAAAACTGTCTCAGGCTGAAAATCTGGACAAATTCTACTTTCTTTTTTCCTGAGTGTCTGTATTTTATATATAAAAGTTACATCAATAAAGCAGAGAACTTGGCCATTTTTCAGTCTTACCAGTTTATAAATGATTCTCCTCCCTTCCTGGATATTTAAGCCACTTTCATTCAAACTGCGCCAATATTTGTTCCACTGGTCCCAGTATTTATCCCCACCCGACATTCAGCCCTGGTCTCTCTTGTTTCACCCTGTCCTTTCTGTCTCCCATTTGTATGACCCCGATGTTGTATCTTCTTCCTTCTCTTGATCCTCCCCTCCCCATTTGGTTCTTCCCCTTGCATTGTATTAGTTTTTTTACCCATCATGCATCCTGTACACTACAGGTCCAGCCACCTGGGCCATGGCAACGTCCAAGCCAGACATCATGATCATTCTGCTGAGTAAACTGATGGAAGAGGGAGACATGTTCTACAAGGTGAGAAGCCTGGGAGAAGTTTGGAAGATGCAAACTTAGCAAGACAGTTCAGAATGGAGACATGTGATGAGCAGAATATTATGTCAGGTTGTTGGTGAGCTGGAAAGAAGAGGGTGGACAGCAGCTGAGAAGAGATAGTGAGATTATAACTTTGGGGATTTCCACTTCTAGCAGGAAAGTAATCTTGAGTGTCCTACACATGTGACTTCATGTATCTAAACATATCAAAATGTTCTTCAGTCAGATTACTATATATATGAGCAGCCAGACCTCCATTCTCCAAACTGCTTTGCAGTTTTGAATCTGATTGGTTGCAATGAAGGAATGCAGAAAGATGATGTTACCCATTACCTATTTGGCCTATTCTAGTCTACATATATTCCTGAATCTAATTGTAAGAAAAGATCATTTAATAGAGGCTTACTTAAAAAAAAAAAAAAAAAACCTCACTTATAGTATAGTTGGATATGTATGAAGGATTTGTAAATACACTTTGTTAGATCATTGTACAGTCAGATAAACGAAGCGATCGCACCTTAACGATCACACCCATCGCATTAAGGTCTGCACACGTTACATCATTCTGTGATCCAACTGAAGTTTCAGGTGTTGGATGATCAGTTTGTAACATGTGGGGCACACTAGTAGATATATTTGCTTGGGACATTCAGATCTGTACTGATTTCTCCTTATCAGAGGACATTCTGAAGGAACTTTTGCATACATAGCTGTGGTACTGCGAGGACAGTGGGGATCTGAGAGAAAATGCCTCCAGTATAGAGGCCACAATGTCAGGAGCAAGGAGTCCATTACAAGCTTTCTGGAAGTGGTAATTCACCTTAAAGTATAACTAAAGGCAAAACTTTTTTTTTTTTTTTTTAGTTTTGGATAGAGTGGAGAGGGATTAGAACCCCTGTCAGGTGTTATTGCTGTCTGTGCTCCTGTTATTCAGGTATATTCACCCTCTCCATTTGTCCTATTTACCAGTATGACCAAAGTGAAAGTAAAAGAAACCCCAAATTTTGGGTTGTCCCCAGAGAAGTAATAGAGGGAACATTTTCCAATGGGGACACGAGTTGTAGTGCCCTGGGGGTCCCCAAAAAATTACTTTAATTTGCAGAGAATTTCTCACTTCCTGTTTTGGCGATGGGACAGGAAGTGAAGGGAAATTTCCCCAACGGGACACAGATGGCAAAAAATAAACTGACCAGGGTTATAACCCTTCCGTACTCTATCCAAAATAAAAAGAAAACTTTGCCTCTAGTTCTACTTTTAGGGGACTTGGATTGTACCAGGTCAATAGGAGGACCTCATGGTGTCTGAAAGAACAATCTGTTTCCTCCAGAAACCTTTTAGCCTGTCCCCTTTATTAGTCTGCCATTGAGATGGTGGTTTTGGGAAGAGCAGCCAGCTATGAGGTCCTCGGTAAGGAATTAATACAGAGTAATTAACATAAATGTTTTCCCAGACTAAGAATATGAGAGAAGATTTTTGAGAATTGGAATGTGTGACCATAAAAGAAAACAAAAAAACAAAACTGATGACCATGTTGTAGACAGAAGTTTAATAGCTACAGGTAGATGAATTGTTAGAGAACATAGTATTTGTGAGTACAATGCCTTTGCTCCCTTAGAAAGGGAAAGTAAAAGAAGCGGCACAAAGATACCAGTACGCTATGAAGAAGTTTCCTCGTGAGGGATTTGGAGAGGATCTGAAGACTTTTCGAGAACTCAAGGTGTCACTTCTCCTCAATTTGTCCCGTTGCCGGCGGAAGATGAATGTAAGTGAATAACTTAGATTCTCTGATCAAGTCAATGTATGTTATATATGTTTATTGGGTGTGTAATGCCTTTCATGAGTGCTCAACCTGTGGCCCTCCAGCTGTTGCAGAACAGCAAGTCCCATCATTCCTCTGCCTTTGGGAGTCCTGCTTGTAACTGTCATGGTACTTGTTCCACAACAGCTGGAGGGCCCACAGGTTGAACACCCATGCGGGATATATGGTAAAAGGAGCAGCTACTCTTGGATAACATCGTGCAAGCATTCAATTATTCTGCTGCTTATCTGCTATTAACATACTGTATCCTCATGGTGCATTCTAGAGATATTTATATACAAAATGACTACATATTCTGTGTTAACTATATCATCAAATACCTGCCCTAGACAATTACTCCTGCATCTGACATGCACAGTGCAGACCTTGATTTTCTTTAATCGGCCCCACTGCAAAGGAACCAACGATAGGAGATGATAGTCATTTAATTTTGGATACATCACACAGTGTTGGTGATAACTGTGTGTAGCGGATTCTTCTCAGAGGAAATAGAGATTGGCCCTATTGGATGGTTTCATTACTGGTTCTTCCAATGTACTCCAGGATCAAGGGTTTTTAGTTACTTTTCCCAGACCTTCTCCAGAAGCCATAAACATGCATGTTGCTGTGATCCATATTAATGGGCACTTATGTAAAGATCTTTTAAAAGAAAGTCGGTTGTACAGTAAACGCACATAGGTCCAACCGCTCTCTGATGATTGGGCTAAACCTATTTAACTACTTCCCCTCCGCCCTATAGCAGAAATACTGCTACAGGGTGTCAGGAGTGCGCAAAATCACGTGTATGTATGTGTGTGTGTATGTGTGTATATATATATATATATATATATATATATATGTATGTGTATATATGTATGTATGTGATTTAGCAGTACCCGGGTTGGGTGCACGCACTAGCGCACTACCCCGCGCCGCCGCCTCGGCTGTCAATCATCGGGTCCCGGTGCTGACTGCTCACTGGCACCCAGTGATTGCCGAGTATCTCTGACGGGAGAGAGACCTGTATGTAAACAATACAGATCTCTCCCCTGTTAGCTCCTGAACACTGCTTTGTATGGCTGTGCATAGCACAGCCATACAAAGCAGTGTGCTTACAATGAAACACACACACAGCCCACGTTGTAAAACAGCACATAGTTGACCCTTTGATCGCCCCATATGTTAACCCCTTTCTGCCCAGTGCCATTAGTACAGTGTCAAAGCTTTTCATTAGCACTGATGACCGTATTGGAGTCACTGGGGATGTCAGTGACACCAAATCAGTTCCCCCCAGTGTCAGAATGCCTGCCGCAGTCCCGCTGTAAGTCGCGGATCGCCGTCATTACTAGTTTAAAGGAAAAAAAAATCCCAGTATCTATACCGCCATTTATAGACACTATCACTTTCACGTAAACCAATTAATTTACACATATACAGAATATATTTTGGCCTAAATTTATGACGAAATTTGATTTTTTAAAATTTTTTACTGGATATGTTTAATAGTAAAAAATATTGTGTTTTTCTCAAAATTGTCAGTCTTTTTTTGTTTATAGCGCAAAAAATAAAAAACACACAGTTGAGGACATGCTGCTTTGTATCTCTGCTCAGCATGTCTCCCAACACACAGCACACAGGTAACCCTTTGATCTCCCCACATTAACCCCATTCCTCCACAGTGCCATTAGTACAGTGTCAGGGCTTTGTATTAGCACTGATCACTGTATTGGTGTCACTGGGTTTGTCAGTGGCAATTAATTCACCCCCCCCCCCAGTGTCAAAATGCCCTCCACAGTCCTGCTAAAAGTTGCTGATTGCTGCCATTATTAGTATAAAATAAAAATTGCAGTATATATACCGCCATTTGTAGATGCTATAACTTTCACGTAAACCAATTATTCACACATATTGGGATTTGTTTTTTTTTTTTTGCAAAGACACAGCAAAATACATTTTGGCCAAAATTTATGACAAAACTTGATTTTTTTTTTTTTTTTCAACATTGTTGGCCTTTTTTTGTTTATAGTGCAAAAAACTAAAACTGCACAGGTGATCAAATACTACTGAAAGAAAGCTCTATTTGCAGGAAAAAAGGACATAAATTTCATTTATGTACAGCATTGCATAACCGCATTATTGTCAGTTAATGTAACGCAGCGCATATCGCAAAAAATGGCCTGGTCAGGAAGGGGGGTAAATCCTCTAGAGGGCGAGTGGTTAAGACAGACTTGGCAACAGCATAGAGTTGTAATTCCAGCTGAATGATGCCTATGATGTTGCTCACTTTTTCTTCAGCAATCATATATGGTCAACTGGAGAAAGATAATGAATGCTCATGAGCATGTTACCGCATTCAAAGATTTCCTGAGATCCTGGAAAATCTCTGCATGAATGAACTCTCAGAGGAAAGGAGACAGACCTGTCACTGCCTGCCCCACATTTGCTCACTCACCAAATTAGAGGAGAAGGTCTTGGTAGGTCTCATGGTGCAGTTCAAGCAAACACAGGTAGATCTATCACTGGCCTTTGTGTTTGGTGAGATCTGCCTGGCTGTGGCTACCCTTCTATATGTACACTATATACAGTTTCTTCCATGCTTCGATGGTGTCATCACCATTAGGAGGTTTGTCACATCCTGGTAGCTAAGCGTACATTAGAAATTGCAGCTACCACTACCAGTTCTTGGATATCCATGCTAAGTGGTAAGTTAACAAATTTTACCAACTTAACTAAGTCGTGGAATGTCTGTGTTTGTCCTCTTCTTTATAGATATTTGTATTGTCCTTTCTGTATGATTTGCTTCTTTTTATCTCAGATGCAGCACTTGCAGTCAGAAATGAATATCAGCAATGTTTTGTTTAGAAGGGTGTCATATTTTCAATCCCTTTTTTTGATTACAGGACTTTGGAATGGCAGAGGAGTTTGCAACTAAGGCTCTGGAGTTGAAACCCAAATCATATGAAGCTTTTTATGCCCGAGCTAGAGCCAAGAGGAGCAGTAGGTAAGAAAGTGTATTGTTCAGGATGAGAGCTTCACAGTCTGACAGTGAAGTAGATAACGTAATACCTCTTGGGGATGGACTTCACATCACCCCCCCCCCTCTATTAGCAGTGCCCTGTGTCCCCTTCACATCACATCCCCCCCCCAGCAGTGTCCTCTGTCTCCCACACACACACACACATTGTAGTGTCCTCTGCACCCTTCCCCCATAGCAGTGCCTGCTTCACATCACCATACAAGTGTCCTATGCCCCCCTCAAAGCAGTGTCCTCTACCCTCTTCACATCACCTAACACCCCCCTCACCACCGCTGTAGTGTCCCTATGCACTTCTCCCAATAGCAGTTCCCTCTGTCCCCTTCATATAACCCCTTCCATCCCCTCTGTAGTGTCCTGTTCCCACCAGCCATGTCCTCTGTCACCTTTACATCACTCCCCACTGTAGGGTCCTATGCCCCCCCAGCAGTGCCCTCTGTCCCCTTTACATTTCCTACCCCCCTCCAATAGCAGTGTCCCCTTCACATCACCGCTTCCATCCCCTCTGTAGTGTCCTCTGCACCCCATCCGTGTCCTCTGTCCCCTTTACCTAACTACTGCCCCCCCAGCAGTGCCCTCTGTCTCCTTCACAACCCCCCCCCCTCTGTAGTGTCCTCTGCACCCCATCCGTGTCCTCTGTCCCCTTTACCTAACTACTGCCCCCCCCAGCAGTGCCCTCTGTCTCCTTCACAACCCCCCCCCCCTCATAGCAGTGTCCTGTGCCCCCCAGCGGTGTCCTTTGTCCCCATCACATAACCCCCCACTGTAGTGTCCTGTGCCTTCCCAGCAGTGTCCTTTGCCCCCTCCAGGTCATTCGCCCCCCCCCCCCCCACACACACACGAACCCGTGTCTTGGTAGCACTCTCCTACCTTACACAGGTGTTCAGCAGAACAAGAGGCAGCACAGCACACTGCATGGAGGGAGGGAGCAGGAGCTGCTGGGGGTTAACATTTCCTAATAAGCTGGTGATTGGTTACTAGGTCCACCCGACATCCTAGCAACCAATCATCTGCTGGTTAAACTGAAGCAGCTCCAGCCCTCTGTCCAGTGCTGTGCTGCCTCCCACTCTCTGCTCTGCAGTGATGATGAGAGCAGCATAGGCTGGAGGGCAAAACCAGCAAAGCAGTGTTCAGGACCTACTCATTGGCTGCCTGCCATCGATGGTTAGATCATGATCATCAGCTTGCCGACCCCACCCTAGTGGAATTAATCTAAGGTGCAATGAAAAAAGGCTGTGTACACAAACTCTAAAAGATTTTCATCCCCTGTGTAACCTCCCACTTTACTGTGGCATTGAGATGTAATATCACAGCAGCATTCGTTCCATCCAAATGTCCCTACAATAAAACTACACATAATTAAAGATGAACTAAGGGCAAACACTTCACTTTGGATAAAGTATGGGGGGGGGGGGTTATGTCCCCTGTCAGTTTGGGGTTTTTTCCCTATTTGTGACCATACCTTTCTGTTCCATAGCCAAAACAGGAAGTGAAAGGAAATCCCTCCAAAGTGAGGGAATTCCTGGTTTGTGCCAGAGCTAGTATCCCTTATGGAAGATTTATCCTCTATCCCTGTTTTGGTGACAACCCTAAATGTTGGATTTCCTTTCACTTTGTTATAACTGTAAAAAGAACAAATAGAGAGGGTGACGCAGCCATACAAACCTGACAGGGGTTCTTATCTCTCTCAACTCTATCCAAAACAAAAAAAGAAGTTTTCCTTTTAGATATACTATAAGCTGAAAAAAGTATCAACTTGAATATATACAGTGGGGATCGAAAGTTTGGGCACCCCAGCTAAAAATTTGTATTAATGTGCATAAAGAAGCCAAGGAAAGATGGAAAAATCTCCAAAAGGCATCAAATTACAGATTAGACATTCTTATAATATGTCAACAAAAGTTAGATTTTATTTCCATCATTTACACTTTCAAAATAACAGAAAACAAAAAAATGGCGTCTGCAAAAGTTTGGGCACCCTGCAGAATTTATAGCATGCACTGCTCCCTTTGTCAAGCTGAGACCTGACAGTGTCATGGATTGTTCTCAATCATCGTCTGGGAAGACCAGATGATGTCAATCTCAAAGGTTTTAAATGCCCAGACTCATCTGACCTTGCCCCAACAATCAGCAGCATGGGTTCTTCTAAGCAGTTGTCTAGAAAACTGAAACTGAAAATAGTTGATGCTCACAAAGCTGGAGAAGGCTATAAGAAGATAGCAAAGCGTTTTCAGATGTCAATATCCTCTGTTCGGAATGTAATTAAGAAATGGCAGTCATCAGGAACAGTGGAAGTTAAAGTAAGATCTGGAAGACCAAGAAAAATATCAGACAGAACAGCTCGCAGGATTGTGAGAAAAACAATTCAAAACCCACGTTTGCTAGATCTTTCTGGAGGGATCGTGCAGTCAGACACTGGAGTTGTGGTACACTATTCCACTATAAAGAGATACTTGTACAAATATGGTCTTCATGGAAGAGTCATCAGAAGAAAACCTCTTCTACGTCCTCACCACAAAAATCATCGTTTGAACTTTGCAAATGAACATATAGACAAGCCGATGCATTTTGGAAACAAGTTCTGTGGACCGATGAGGTTAAAATTTAACTTTTTGGCCAGAATGAGCAAAGGTACGTTTGGAGAAGAAGGGGCACAGAATTTAATGAAAAGAACCTCTGTCCAACTGTTAAGCATGGGGTTGGATCAATCATGCTTTGAGGTTGTGTTGCAGCCAGTGGCACAGGGAACATCTCACGAGTAGAAGGAATAAATGGATTCAATAAAATTTCAGCAAATTTTGGATGGTAACTTGATGCCATCTGTGAAAAAACTGAAGTTAAAGAGAGGATGGCTTCTACAAATGGATAATGATCCTAAACACACCTCGAAATCCACGGGGGATTACATCAAGAGGCGTAAACTGAAGGTTTTGCCATGGCCTTCACAATCTCCTGACCTCAACATAATTGAAAACCTATGGATAGACGTTAAAAGAGCAGTGTGTGACAGACAGCCCAGAAATCTCAAAGAACTGGAAGACTTTTGTAAGGAAGAATGGGCAATGATACCTCAAACAAGAGTTGAAAGACTCTTGGCTGGCTACAAAAAGCATTTACAAGCTGTGATACTTGCCAAAGGGGGCAGTACAAGATATTAACTCTGCAGGGTGCCCAAACTTTTGCAGACGCCATTTTTTTGTTGTCTGTTATTTTGAAAGTGTAAATGATGGAAATAAAATCTAACTTTTGTTGACATATTATAAGAATGTCTAATCTGTAATTTGATGCCTTTTGGAGATTTTTCCATCTTTCCTTGGCTTCTTTATGCACATTAATACAAATTTTTAGCTGGGGTGCCCAAACTTTCGATCCCCACTGTACATAGAACATATATTACATTAACAGTCTGTCATGTACATCATTCAACAAAATCCAGAACATTTATCACATACACCTAAATGTATGGTAATACAGAGTGCGGCTCCATTCCCCTGGAACACAATCTCAGGGTAGAGCTGCTCTTACCCCTGGTTCACATATCTGCAGCCGTGCGGGCTGTGTTCTCGCGGGCACGAGAGCCCATTCATTTGAATGGACTCCCATCCCCCGGGACACGCAGGGAAGAAATCCCTGAACTTCTTTGGAAAATGCAGCCCACAGGGGAACCTCGGTTCCCAGTACGGTTACGTTTTCCAGTGCGGGTGGTGTGCCATTAGAACTAATGGAACCCACCTGCGGGTCCGCATTCCTCTGTGCGGGTGGTGCGGCTGCATGGATTTTCATGCGGATCCACAGCCGCACCACCTGCACATATGTGAACCTTGCCTAAAGGAGAGCAAATGCAATCCCCATAGTGTCCACTTAACAGGATTACATTACATTTTTTATGTGAAGTAGTGGATATATTGATACATTCAGTGTAAATTTTCCTACACTCTATAGGTGCTCTACCAGAAAGTTAGAAAAATTGGCAAAAGTGTCATTTACATCTCAGAATGGTACTGATAGTCGACCTTAAAGGATAAGTTGACCTTTTCATGTAACATGTTCCAGCTCCTGCCACCAGTTCTGCTGATCTCCCCCCTTCCTCCCCTCTCAGTGTGACAGCAGACAGGGTTTTTCTCCCTGCACTTGCCGTTACTTTTTTGAAAAAAGTGCAGCTGTGTGGGATTCTACCAACATGGCTGCATCATTCATTCACAGTTTCCTGTGAAGGAATGAACTACAAGTACCATCATCCAGCGCAGCTGACAGCTGGTAACTCTGAATGAACTGCGATTGTACTAATGAGTGCTCCTATAGTTCATTTACAAGCCCTGCAGCTTTCAAAGAGACCGCCCGTATGGAAGTGCAGGGCTTGTCTGCAGAAGGCTGACATTACACCCCTTAGCCACTGATCACAGGTGCAATGCTTTCCAGGGTCCTGCTGGAAAAAATAATAAATGCACATTTTTATCTGCAAAAATATGTGCAGTTATTATTTTTTCTGGAAAGGTAAACTTATTTTTAAATGTATAAACTTTATGCCTACTAATTCTCCAAAATGTGTGCATTGTTATTTGAATTGCATTGTTTACAGACTGTCATTGTCAGTAAGAAAAAAGTGATATCAAAGGATCTAAACAACATATAATGAAGGCTATCTACATTATTAATTAGTGTGTTCCTTACCAGAACTGCTTTGTATCTTGCAGACAATTTACAGCAGCTTTGGAAGATCTCAATGAGGCTATTCAGCTTTGCCCTACCAACCGTGAGATCCAGCGGCTCCTAGTGAGGGTAGAGGAAGAATGTAGGCAGTTGCAGCAAGAAGAGGAGGTTCAGGAATTACAAGATGAACCAGAACCTGAAGTTCCAAATGAGGATGTTGACTCCACCCAGGAAGACATGTACGAAGAAGAATATCTGGAACAAGACATGGATGCTGTTGGATTACAGTCTGAAGGAAGGCAGTGTCAGGGCCTTCCAGGATTGCAGAGCCCACCTCAGTCTCCTGCACATCGGGACTCTGCCTATATGTCAGGATCACACCAAGTATTTGACTTCAGATCAAACAGCTCAGTGGGCTCACCTACACGACAAGGTTATCAGTCTACTTCCCCGTCCCTGTCTCCAACACATCAGAACTCTCACTATCGTCCCAGTCCTCCACAGACATCACCTGCACACCAGAGCTCTTCCTATCGCTTTAGTCCACCTCCAGTGGGCGGTCAGGTAATAGACTATCCGAGCCCTCCTCCTTCACCATTACGAAGAGCACCGCAATACAGAGCTAGTCCACCAAGTGAAACTATTGGCATGTATAGGCAACAGTCTGGTTCTCCAGTAAGATATCAGCAAGAGCCATGTGTAAGCCAGCATCCAGGAAGACCCAAGTCTCCTTTGTCCAAGATATCACAGCGATCGTTCCAAATGTCACAGCTTCCCACAGCCGTTCCGCAACCTGCACACAGATTACAGCCAGCCAAGGCACAAATTGTACGCAGCAACCAGCCCAGCTCTTCTGTACACTCCAGCGCTGTGATTCCTGGGGGAACATATGGACAGGTGGCGCACGGTATGGCAAGTAAATACCAAACATCATCTGGAGAAATAAGTCAAAGCCGTCTAGTATACCAAGCTTCCCTTGGTGGTCTCATAGCCGATGGACGCCCCGTGCAGCATGTGCAAGCCAGTTTAAGTGCAGGGGCCATTTGTCAACATGGTGGCATTGCCAAGGAAGATATCCCCCAAAGGCCAACCTCTGCCTATAGGGGTGGTATGAGGTATAACCAGACCCCACAGATAGGGCGCAGCCAATCTGCATCATATTATCCTGTATGCCACTCCAAGCTGGATCTTGAACGATCTTCTCTACCTTCCAGCCAGCTAGGTTCTCCCGATGTTTCTCACCTAATAAGACGGCCAGTGAGCATTAATCCTAGTGAAATAAAGCCTCACCCTCCCACTCCAAGGCCCCTGTTGCACTCGCAGAGCGTAGGGCTTCGCTTTTCCCCATCCAGCAACAGCATTTCATCCTCTTCCAGCCTGTCTGCTACTTTCCGACCGTCTGCTTCTATACAACAAATGGAGATTCCTCTCAAACCAGCTTATGAGAGACTTTGTGATGAACTGTCTCCCGTGTCCCCACCCCAGGGAAGTTACCCCGGTGAACCCACGCGCTCTAGGACCACCCCCTTCATGGGGATAATTTGACAAGACTGCACGGACTCAGCAGTATCCCCATCCCCATCATCATCAGCAAAGCCGGACATGGGCTGTTTCTTCTGTTGACACTGTCCTCAGTCCCACATCTCCCGGCATCTTGCCCCAGACAGAATCTTTCAGCCCCCCCTCTTCTATCAGTAACATCGCCTTTTATAACAAAACCAACAATGCACAGAACGGACATCTCCTTGAAGACGACTACTATGGCCCGCATGGTGTGCTGGCCAATGGCTCTCGAGGGGACATTTTGGAGAGAGTCACACAGGCCTCCTCCTACCCGGATGTCAAAGTGGCCAGAACACTGCCTGTTGCACAGGCGTACCAGGACAACCTGTACAGACAGCTGTCTCGGGACTCTCGGCAGGGCCAGACTTCGCCCATCAAACCAAAGAGACCATTTGTGGAATCCAATGTGTAGGACAACAGACTTTCCCCCTAGCTTTTCCCTTCTTTCTTGGTATTAACCTTTTCCTCACTCTTTGCATATACTTTCCTCAAACTGGAGACTGAGTAACTCTTCTAAAGGTATCAGTCCCGTCCCAGACCCTCAGCCATTGACCCTCCACATTAATGTTCTTAGCTGACCCAAGATGGGCAGAGCTGGCGTTTTTTAGTGTGGTAGGGTGTTCTTACAAAAAAAAAAAAAAAAACTCTAGACTTGACTGGGTCATGGAACCCAAGGGGCACCTTCTTTTTAATTGCCCAGTATACAGTTGGTATTTTTTTCAATTGACTGATTTAAATTATTTGCACTTAAATCACTAAAATGAAGTCAGTCCCTGGTCTCCTTATACTTCTGCCATCCTGTGGAATTTATTGGAGGCAAGCCCATGTTTCCTCCTTTATAGCATTGCTTCTGCCGGCAGCGTGTTTTACAGCCCCGAGTAACTAGACAGACCCTGCCTGTGGGAGCACAACAGCTGGAACATAGAAATATCTAAGGCCACTTACAGCACAATAGGCATCTGGGAATCTGATAAAATAAGGGCTCTCTCTTCATTGTCATTATTACATTAATAGCCATGTAACACTATATGTAACATACACTGACTGGGATGCTAAGCTTTTACTGGTGCTTTGTACAGGCTCTGGCTCTTGGGATCACAAAACTGAGGAAGCAAGAGAAATAGATGGAATGTAGTTTGTTCTTGGTAGAGGTGCGCTAGTCTGCTTTTACAAATCATGTAGTAGGGTAGGTGGAGTGGACTGTATTATAAATGCAATTCTCTCACCTTGTCCTGCTAGAAACCTCTACTGGGTCATTTTTTGAATACTGTTTCTCATACAATAGTCAATTATTGTGAATGTTTTCTATAAATTCAAAACACTACAATGCCTAAACTCTTTCTGGCCTATTCAATAGGACAGTCTAAGCTGAGGTGAAAATGTTGGGCAATCAATCACAATTCAGCTTTCACTAATATACATTAGTAGGTTGCTGAGAATTGTTGCACTTTATATGTTTATTGCTTTTTTTCTTACCTTGTTAAAAAAGAGTTAACCACTTGAGTCCCTGGGACTTATTCTCCCTAAACCCAGATTCCCAGAGTGTTTTCTTTTATTGTTTTGGTGATGTCTTGGCTCTGCACCACATCATGTTTTTGGGGACAGAGAGGGATTTTAATTTGGTAGCAGATTTGGACACATTTCTTTTATTTTTGTTGGGAATAAATGGTAAAAAAAAAAACGTATTCCCAACACAGCAGAATAATTTTATTTGTGTACTCCAAAATATAAATCAACAAAGTCTACAATTTAAAATGATCACATTACTGCGACTTTTATGTGACATATCCAAATGGTAAAGCTCAATTTGAATGTATGTGTTTTACTTTAGGAGAGCTATATTCCCCTTTTGGCCTACATTGCGACACGCAGGGAAAAAGTTAATTTTCCATAATAAATTGTCAGCATAATTAAGATCAGATTAAGTTGGGTTAACAAGGGCACTATATATATATATATATATATATTTTTTTGTATATTTTTTTTTTTTTTGTATTTTTTTTTTCTTACAGGATTGCAGTAATTAGAAATTCAGACAAAATTGCGTCAATTAGATAAGCATTCACCACTGGTGCGGTAAAAGCAAATGTTATCCAGATCATCGTTTGTGTGTGTGTGTATATATATATATGTATATATATATATATATATATATATACACACACACACACACACCACCCCCCCAGTATATTGATTTTTGTACACTTTTATTTTTTGCATAGGGGGGTCTGGATCTGGTCAGTGGAGATGAAATCTAAACCCATGCAGCAAAAGATGACATAATGATCTGCTGGCTTGTATTCAGCCAGTAATAGATCGCTATATTAGTGGTCCACTGCTGTAGCAAGAGGCTGATCAGAGCTCAATGCCTGAGCCTCTGTCTCCATGTCACCATATTCCTGATCTAAACACAATACGAAAGCATTAGGTTTACAATTCTCTCCTACAGAGCCCTCCTATGGAGCAATCTGTAGAAGGTTGAGAAATTCAGGAACTATTTGTCTTACCTCCTGGATTTAGCACTGGGACCCGGCTGTGGATGACAGCTGGAGTTTCCCAGCGCTAGTGTTGGCAGGGAAAGACCTACAGGAGCCTCTGAATTTGGGTGCTATTTTAAAGCTATCTATACATGGGATCAAGCAGCCCTAATGACTAGTCCAGTGCTTGTGAAGTCACCGTCTCATAATCTTCAATTTACATCTCCATTTCTTTTGCTACGAGGAGGGTTTTGTGAACCATGAGCCAGCACAAGAGCACCAGTGTGCTTTTAGGACAGGTGAGAAGGAATTTGACTTGCAGCGGGCAGTAAACCAATCATTTCATCATTTGCAAGTAGGATGAGTTTCAATCAGCCCAGACCTGATGCATAAATAAAACTGGAGGGATGACCAGGCCATACGTGATCACACCTATTCATAAAGCAGAAATCTGCCAGTAGCTACAATGTGGTTTTCTGCTCTCAGACAGCAATGTTCTCAGGTGTACATATCTTGTGACCTGTCCACATACATCAGATTCTCCTCAATGTTCCAGACTGTTGGTAGTCATAGACCAGACCAGAAGGGCTCTTGTGGTAAAGGGGCAGATTTACTAAATGGCCAGTGTGAAATACATTAGAATGACAGTCTCCATGCCAACACAGCAAATACACCCACCATTCTTATCGAATGCTTCTAGTGTCAGTGATATGTGCAATAATGAAGGAAAAAACCCCTTATAGTTTCCATTCTCATGGAAACAGACTTAAGGATAAGTTGTTGGAGCATGTTGTTCTAAGTAAATACAACTTAATATTTTAGTTATTTGCTATTTAATTACAATATTTTATATAAATGAAAAAAGCAGGATGCACCAAAACCTTGTTTGGGACAAGATAATTGCTGTACTATTGTATATTGTGATAAAGAGAACATTCCAGTAATGTGAAAAGACACTTCCATGTGCTATGAAGTGCATAATCAAGGCACTTTGCTTCCATGTAAACAAATTTTCTCAGCAGGGTAACGCTGTAAACCACCACACTTCTGAATATATAATAGGAATATGGGATGCAGTACAATTAAAGGATACGCACTTATCCTGTTTCCCAGTAAAAAACCCCGTTCTTGCTGCCCAGCTGTTTTGGGGGCCACGACAGTGTTTACACAGGCTGGGCTCCTATGTACATGTAAGAGCTGGGTTCCTGTGCCATGGTAGAAAGACAGGGTTTGTCCCTTACTGGTTCATAGACAATGGTGGCCAGGATGGCTGAAACTCTGCCAGCACATCTGATTAAGCACTTGCTGCTTTTCAATGGATATGGAGCCTAGAGTTTGTGTAAACACGCTGTACAAATTTTCATAATTTGAAGAAGGTGGCAGACATTTTGATTTTATTGATTATATTTGTATTCAGTCCATTTGAGGCAAAGTTTAACAGGACAGGAAATAGCCCGTTTCTGTAAGCAAAGTGCATTGCCACGTTATAGCCAGTAGAGGGCACAGCAGAGATCACAACTATCCAACCCAAATGATTACTAAATACTGTGCTATAAGTAACTGTTACGCCCATGTTTCTGCTCCCCTTGTAACAGACTTTGCCAAAACTCCCAAGCTGGGTTTGGTGCATTCCGTCGTCGGAAGTGATATAGCTAATTCTATGGAGACTGTACATGTTGTTCTTTTATTTCTATTACAAAGTGATAGCCATTGTGTATATTTCAGAGATGGTGCTGTTTGTGGATAGAGAACAGATGCAAGTTTTAGGCCTACAAAACGTCATTAGTTCCATTTAGTGAAGTCCTCAGAGTATCACAGTTCAGGGATTTTTGTGGTCGTGGCAGGGTTCTTTTCTAATTCCCTAGACAGTATCTGAAAAGCAGACTTTCACTGGCCTCCTGCTTGACACCCCCCCCCCCCCCCCCCCCCCCCACCCCCCCCCCATGCTGTGATTAGGCACAACAGATCTGAACTGGGAGGAGAGCGAGTTGCCTTTGCTTATGTAAAAATAGACACCTGCTATTAACGATCACTGCTGAAGATTCCTAATGCAATGTTGGAAAGGTTATTTTTCCGTTTTAAATTTTATATGGCGATACTTTTTATACCCTTCCTGGCTGCTCTGTCCCTAAACTCACTTCCCTAGCTTTTCCTGTCCTCGCCTTCTCCTCCATGCTGCGGCTGTATTGCACACATCAGAAAGACTGAAGGAACCTTGTGAAGGGTGAGCGGGGCCTTCGCCACCCCAAGTCAGAAGGACTCTCTTCTCTGTACAGTGTATTTATTCAATGCATGGTCCGTTCTCTTTAAAAATATACAGAACACAACCATTGTTAATATATATATGTATATAAAATAATACATATATTGTGCAGTGCTCAGGTCATGGGGTTGTTTAATTTTTAGTTTTTTATTACTAAGTCACCCCTTTTCTCTCCCTGCCTCCTCCTGGAGACAAGGGTGAGTCTGCAGATTTGAGCATTGAACTTGTAAATAAGAAAACAAGGGAAAAAAAAACATGTTTTATTTGTTTTGTTTCTGTTTTTATTTCTGTTTATTATCCCTCCTTTGCTTCCAGGACCTCCTGCAGTGCAGCGCAGAGCGATGTGTTTGGTCCCTGAAGGCAGAGGAGGTGGGAGGTTGCACTCTGGGTGCCAGGGTATTAAAATACCCTCTACATCCTCCCCTCACCACTCCTGGGTTTTTTCTTTTTCTCAGTTACACTGTATTTGCTTGCTCTGTTTTTTCTTGTCTGTACATGTGAGATGTGAGATAGATGTGAAAAGTCTTTCCTCCCTCCCCCTAAAGTCACCTTCTCTATACAGACTTTAACTGTAAATTGAACAAGAAAACTGTATGAGACAAAAGAGAAAAAATGTACTTATTTATAAATGGTTAATAACACTTGGAATCAAAACAGCCATCCGTGTGTCTG